AGCAGGATTTTCCTGGAAAAGGGATGAATATTTGTTTGCTCTCTGTGATTTTAATTTCACTAAGTCCCCTGCTGTACTGTGCAGCTCTGTCTCCAGTGATCCCAGCTGCTCTACTGGGTCTTGCTGGATATCACTTCTCATTGCTCTCTTCCCTTCTTAGGACACTGTTTAAGGAGAGCAGGCGTGTACATGGACACCTCACATCAGTCCTGTGAGTATCGCGCAGCATTCCTTTGGAGTGATAACTGGTGAACTCCGTTCCCTGGGGCCTGGGTGGATCATGCAGAAGCACCTGAGCTTGCTTGGCTCCCATCAGATAGTTTGGCGCTGCTTCATTTGGGGCGGTCTAGGGAGAGTAGTTGTTTGCGTGTGACATCTCCCAACGACAGCCTTCCTGAGGTGCTTTAGCCTTACAGTAAGCTCAAATATAAGAACTTTTCCAGGTTGCCTCCTGGCCTTGTTCAACAGACTGGAGTCAGGCCTCTGTGCTAGTCCCTGGGAGGCAGATCAAGGTAAAATGGAGTGTGATGCCAGCACTGTGATTATTGCTACCTGTTCAGTCGGTCCTTACTGGATTCTGGATTCCCTCTTTCTTGTTGCCTGGTTAAAGGAGGGGTACAATGAGCTCAAGCTAGTGAAGATGGGTGAAACAGGCTTGTGGGTGGCAAACCAAGAGAGCCATCGGAATCCAGCTGGGCAGGTGCTTTAATGCCAAAGGGTCTCATGGATCTTGCTGGCAGTCTATAACAGATGATGATACGGACTTAGGCTGATGTCTGTTTGACAGACGGTCCTGTTCTTGGCACTGGATGAGCGAGGGGAAGTGTGAGAAAGAGTATGAAATAGAGTGTAGAATCATCCTTCCCTCAGCCATACCACTCCGGCAGTTCAGGGATGTCTTGTATCAGAGATTGCATCTGACCAGACCAAATGATCTATTTTCCGTGAATTTGGCAGATGCTTTTGCATCCTTGACTTCTTCTGGGAACCTAAAAGAAATGTGTAACTTTTCTCCAAAACAGTCTCTGTCAGTTTCTCTCTGGGTATTGCTATAGTTAGGTCAGCAGCGGGTTCCTGTAGTAGCTCCTAGCCCTGCAGCCGGTGCAGGAGGTGTCTGTTGAGTGCTTTCACTGCTCTGCTACCATTTCAAGACTCTGCTCCGCTCCCTAATTCATTCCCCTGTGTGGGAGTTGGGGCTTCCTAGAGCAGCGACCAAATGTCATACGGTTTTGAATCCTAGCAACCTGAGATGCTGCCTCTGTTCCCTCGGTTCTTTGCAAAAGACTCAGTGGATCATCATTAACAGGGCCCAAGTGTGCTCCCTAATTGGATGCTTCCCTGTGGGCATTCAGTGAGCCATGTTTCTTTTGTCTCCCTCAAAACAGGGTGAAGAAGAAAGTTATAGCTCCTACTAAGGTGAAAGTGAAGGTGAGTTCTTTGTTTTCTGGTTCTCATGGTTGACATACACCAAGAGTCTAGTGTCTGCCATCTTAAATCCTATATTTGAGCCTTGTACCTATACATTAGATACAAGGAAGTTGTACTGTGAGCTAGCTCTTGTCAGTATTGGGCTTGAAAAAGCAACTAGAACGGCAGCTAAAATTGATGGCAGCAGCAGTCGGGAGGGAGGCGGGGGGCCGGCAGGCGCAGAACGTGCCTATTCTGCCTTTTATCCCCAAATCGGGAACCTTCCCTTCCCTTTTTAGCAGTAAACCCTGCTTCTGTTCTGACTCTGCCTTCTCTTGTGATTTTTGTTCCAGGAATCTTCCTGCAAGCCCGATAAAAAGGTGTCGGTTTCTGTTCCTTCGATGCACTCAAGCAGCACCTTAGCTCTGTCTTCAGAGCCCCAGGGGGGGGCTCTGGGCATCAGTGCCCAAACCAGAGAACTCTTGTCCCTTGGGACAGCCCAAGCGGCCAGCAGCACTGGCACTCCTGCTACCTTCATGGATGACTCCTTGGATGAGGACTTAATTCACAATCCCACTTCCTCCCTCGAAGCAGTCTCTAAGGAACTGGCTGTGCTGAACAGCAGAGCGGGAGGGAGCCCTGACTTTACTCTTTCTGGAGCTCCAAAAGCTCCACCAGAGAAGATCCCAACTCTTACATCCTCAGAGGAGAAGAGGACATTTCCAAAGTCCAACCCTTCCCCTACATCATCCTCTGGTTCCCTCCAGTCTCCTCTAAATTTCCTGGCTGAGCAGGCCCTGGCATTGGGCCAATCTTCTCAAGACAAAAAGACAGAGAACTCTAATTACAAAGAGCTCTCCTGCCAAGCCTCCCCCAGCAAAATCCTTCCTGATGCACACCAGGCTAAACAGAAACACCACAGCCTGGTCCGGCCAAGCCACGGGCCTCAGACCTCCACCCCAGTGCCGGGTTCTCAGGTGAAGGTCTTTCACTCAGGCAGCCAGCTACAGAAAACTTTCACCTCCCCGGCTCCGTTTGTCAAACTGCAGAATCCCAAGTCCTCCTCCCCACTGCCCCAACGCTCCCTCCTCCAGCAGGTCAAGTCATCAACCAAAGCTCAGAGCTTCCATTCCTCTGCGTCACCGGGCAGCACCCAAAATTCCGGCAGCTCCCACAAGAGCCCAGGCTCATCCTCATCATCTCTCAGCTACACAGGAAAGCACTCAAGTGGCTCTAGCTCTTCAGGACAGTCTTACAAATCACCCTTCGTTTCTGGTTCCCTCTCCAAGCACGGGGCTTCTTCCAGCAGCTCCTCATCTGGAGCTTCTGCAAACCAGGGCTGCTCCTCTGGGAGCTTGCTGCCCAGTGTGCAGACCCCTTCCTCGGGCCAGGTGTCCAGCCGCCCGTCTTCAAGCTCCTCGGTGAAGAAGACGCCCGTTTCGCAGAAGCTGACTCTTGTGGCACCTCCTGGAGGTTCAAACGGAGATTCTAGCGGGGGCACTCAAGGAGTGGCCAAATTGCTGACCTCCTCCCTAAAGCCAGCTGTTGTTAGCAGCACCGCATCTTCTACCTCTGTGCCGGTAAGCAGGGGTGCGCTGGCCTAGCCTAAAGCCAGGAGAACGCGTGGCACTGTGTCAAGCCATCTCCTAACTTGTTCAGACCTGCCGTAAATTGGTGACTTCAAAAGAATTTCCTGAAAGTCTTGAATGACTGTCTGGATCGTGGCTGCTTAGGCTCGGCAGTCCTGGCCTTTGCCATGGGCTTGCACTCCAGAATTCAAACTTTCATTTTCAGCTTAAAGTAACAATTAAGCAAAATACTGTTCAATAATGTCTCATGAAGGACTCCTGGGTTACCTATGCAGACTTGTGTAATTCAGCCATTGTATTTAATGGTATAAGGACCTTAGTTTTCACCTGTAGCAAAAAAGTAATCGTTCCTAACGCTGTTGTATTAATTTGTTGTTGGCTGCTCATACCTGCCTTCTTTTGTGGCACGTGGAAAGAGCTGGGCAATTAAATGAGTATATTTAAATGGGCCTGGAAACCATGTACTGCTCAGGCTGTGTACCTTGTCTGTTACTGAGATAGAGAGCTGAAAAGCATTCCCCAGTGGTATCTCTCTCCATGGGAGAGATCTCCAATAACATTCTTAGGTGCAGGCATACACCAAACCGTGGTGCCTTGAGTTGTCAGCAGTGATATGCTGCTAGAAGCGAGTAGGAAGCATCCTCCCTGAAACTCACAGGCAGTGTGTAAGCTTCTCCTCTGCCTAATGGAGGCACGGTTCCAGAGTAAAGGAACAACAGAGTGAAATCCAGTACGGTCGCATTTAGAAGAGCATAGCGTCCAGCAGCTGGATTGCCAGTGTCCTGGGCGCCTCAGGAGTTGGCAGCTCTTGGGCCCTGGCTGGGAGGGCGCTTCTTGCAAGGAGGAATGCTTGAGCGCTCCATGTTTTGCAGTTCTTCTTTAAGTATGAATGATGCTATGCCTTGGTTTTCCTACTCCTGACTGACCTTTTCTGTTGCTTTTCAGAAAGGAACTAGTGGAGCTGTGCTGCTAACGAGTTCTTCCTCCTTAAGTGTACTGGCTCCATCCTACAAGTCCAGCAATCCAAAGCTGCCAGCTGCCCTGAGCTCCACCCCATTAGGTATTATCTCTCCTATTCATTCCTTCCCTCTTCATGTCATCTCCTTCAGTTCAGACTCCTCCCCAAAAGCAGGAGTATCAAAGGATGCAATAGTTACGGGACCTGCTCCAGGAACTTTCCACCATGGCCTTGGCCACAGTGAGTATCCTTCCTGGTCATGCACGTGTGTGTTACTTGTGCCTGTGCTGTCAAATAACAAGAATGCCAATGCTCTGCTGTGTTAACCCATTGCAGACCAACCCATCTCTCTTGCTGTTGCTTCGTGCTGTAGTTCATGCACTTGCATCTCCAGCAGTTGCATTTGGAGAGCCTTGGGCACATCCCCGTAGTTAGCCCAGAAGTCCCAATAGCTGGAAGCTGAGCTATAGGCTAACTGCTGCAGCTCTTCTGCTCATTTCTGTCTTCGATGTGTATTTGTTCTTTTTTTTTCCCCCCTCTCTTTTCTTTGTTTTTCTCTCTAGGTCTTCTAGCTGGCTTGCACTCCAGCCCCCACCATGCAGCGCCACTCCCACATTCTGCCCTGTCCACTCATTTACCGCAAAGTTTGCCAGGTAACTTGTCAGATGGTCGTGATTTGTCTTCTGCGTCGTGAGTCATCCCGTATCTCAGCAGATACTTCCTCTAGGGGTGAAAGCAAAGTGGTTGTCCACGTTGTCCGACTGGTGCGGTCGTCGCTAAAACCTGCGGCCTCCCTGAGTTACAAACCGAGGCGTAGCCCTCTGTGTCCTTTACTGTTTAGTTAGCCAGGGCAAACTTGTGCGTTTCTGGAGTGATGAGTCCTCAGTGCTTATAGCAAGTGTTGGTTCCCGGAGGTACTCAGCTTGCTGCTTGCGTCGTGGTGAAGAATTATCCCGCTGGGATTAAAGCTGTGCATGTTTATGCACAGTCTGCCAGGACTGCCCGGGAATGAATATTCTGGCTCTGTGGAGTTTTGTTTCTGGTCTGACACATTTTATATAGGTCACCGGAATGTCTTGCATCTGTGCACTGAGCTAATTGCCTGCATCTCCTTCGCGACAAGTTTGTAGTGTAAATGGAGACTGCTTTACTTGGTGTTGACAGCGTGATGATTTTGCAGTTAAGCCTGTTCCTGCCCCAGTTTGATGCCTGCAGAAGCAATGCGTAAAACAAGAGATTTCCAAAGAACAGCACCTCTGCTCATAAATGGTGTCCTGCCTGGTGGGCTGTGAGCGTATGTAGAGGAGGGAGAGAAGTAAGGGGGGTCCGTGCAGCATTCAGAAAATTGAAATGCAGGGCCAGCAGATCAGGCTTATCTGCCTCCGGGGGTTGTTTATCCCATTGGTAATTGCTATTTCTGCTTTCTTGATCAAGTGTTCTTTAGCACTTACTTCAGTGTGGTTCAGTGCCATTGTCTTAGTACCCGCTCCTGCTGTGATCGTCTTACTGGGCAATATGAGCCTGATTTAGGAGTGGATGTGCTAGCCTAATACTGAGGCCATTAGGTGTGTGGATAACCTGCTGGAGTTAACGTGGCCTCCCGTAGCAGTCATGGGGTAAAAATGCCCTTGACCGCTGAGCGCAGTGCTTGTTCGATGAAGAAAGAAGAGAGTGCTGTGCACCGGTGAAAATTGAAAGAATTTGTTGTCTTTGCTGCTTTTGCTGGAGCTTGTCTGAGGCAGGTTGTTATGCTACTCTGATGCGGTGGAGCAGAAGAAGAAGGTACTAGCAGCAATCACTGGTGTGACAGACCCTTCCTTCTCGTTTGTAAATTCACAGTTACTGGAGAGTGAGGTGATTGATTTCGGTTTGAACATGGGATGTGAAATATATTCTGTGTCACTGAGAAGGAGTTCTGTCCCATTATTTGAGGGAATTTAGAGTGGTTACTTCACTGTTGCTTATAGGGCTTGTAACAAAAGAATTTTTTGGTGGACTGCTGCTCTTAAGCAGGACATAGTGCTAGGAGCTGCGAACAGACAAAAGGTGACTAGGAGTAAGTGAAGAAAAACTGACCATTGAGACAGCTTCAGCAGGGACCCGCTTTCTCACTTGGTGTCTTCACGTGAAGATTGGAGATTGAGCCTAGTGCTATCATCTCTGGGAACATTACCGGTTGTGGTGTTTTGTAGAACAGGGTAGATATTTAAGTGACCACCGTAATCTTAAAATGTATTCGTTTGTTTTGTGGAATAAACTGTGGTTGGCTGTATAAGCAGGTGGCCACAGCTGCATTGCTCTGTCCGAAAGCTGCGAGGACTCTGGCGTGTTGGGAGGTTGCTACGAATGCAAGGAAACGTCGATGTCTTAAACGAAAGCGTTTATACCAGCGTTCATCAAAAAGCATTTGAGCAAGGAGCATCCAGTGCTTGCTTGTGTGTCGTCACTGCTGCATTTGCTGGCGGAGGTGCCTGTGTGCTGGTGCTGTGGCGATGGCTCTGACTGCTCGCTTTAGAAATGCGACGTGCTGGGGCTGAGCTCTTGCATGGAATGAACTGTCCTTGTCCTGCAGAAGAAGCTCTCGCTACGCTGCTCAGTGCCACTGCTGCTTACCTGCACGCCTCAGCACACCCATTTGTTCATCCTAGTCTGATAGTAGTTCTAATTGCCCCTGGAAAACTTCTGCTTCCTTAAACTTCCTTCCTTTTTCTCTCTTCAGTGCATTTTCTCTTTTCCCTCCACGTCTGTTCCTTTCTGTTACTTCAGCGATTAGATTCCTGATTCCTGTTGCTATCAGTGGGCACCTTAAAGCCTTCATTACAACAGCAAAGGTGTACTAACGGTGTTATTTCAAACCACCTTTAGATGCAAGGCAGCCAGCACCATGTACTTCTAGTTTCCTAGATGGGGAGACACGGTAGGGTGGCTTTTAGAGAAGGGCATAGGCTAGCTAGTCGACGAGCAATCTGAATCTATGCCGTGGTGCTTTTGCTGGGAGGCCACAGGAGACCCTCAGTGCTTCCTGTGAGCCTTACTCAGGAGCAGAGGCAGGGCGGCTCCCAGCTGTGAGACGTCTCCAAGCACGTCCTCTTACCCCCTGATTCCTTGGTGCTGGAAGGGAAAAGTAGGTCTTTCTGTGCGGAGAGATCTGGCTGCCCCAGCTGCATGCAGCTCCGTGGAGCTGATGCCGAACCCCCTTCCCACTTGGTTTTATTTTCTTCCAGATGCTTCTCAGCTTCACGGCAAAGGGTCCAATGCACAGCAGCGCAAGTTGTGACGTCTGCAAGGAGGGGAGCTAGAGCACACATAGGATAAAACCAAGAGGAACAGGTCATGAACTTTGGATACCGGCTGCCTCTTTTTTTTTTTCTTTTTTTCTTTTTCTTTTTTTTTTTTCCCTTTCTTTTTCCCCCTCACGACAACTGGAGAGACTGAACCGCAATCAGGAACTCATTGGTGCGTTTGCTCAGAGGCTTTCAGAGCTAAGCACCCACACAAAGGGCCACCTTGAGCCATGCCCCGATGAGAGAAGCGTTTTGTAGCACTGTTTTATTGCTGCTGCCCTTCACGCATTCCCTGGCACTGGCAGGGGCTAGAACCTGCAGGGAGACTCGGGTGGCTTGGCTTTCTTGCAGTGGATTCCCACCCACCTGGGTCTATATCTGCCAAGTACCTCCAAGTCCAGTTACCTCCTTGGTCTCCCAGTGGAGGGTATGAAAGGTGCTTCTTTCTTCTGCTTTGGATTTACTTGGATAATTCTAGCACTGCCAGTGCTTTCTGAAGACATTTGACTAACTTTTCAATTGTACTATAAAACTGTGCTACAGTTAATTGGAGGACTTAACATTTCCTGTGTGGTGAATGTAGCGAACCACTTAATGTTCCCCTCTGGAGGAGAAGGAAGACTCTTTAGAGAAACATTTTTCGATGCAGTCATTGACTTTGAGAATTCTACGTCTTTCCGTTTTTGGATTTTTTTTCCTCTTCCTCAGTTTTATCTTCATTACCATCGAATGCATTGGATTGAATGGGACACTTCTCAGCATGTCACATGTATAGGAAGACATAATTCCAGTGCCTTTTATGGTGGAGCAAGAATGGACTAGTGACACACATTTCAGCCCTATTTTGTGTGCTCCTCAACCCTTTTTTAATCATTCTGTATTTAAAATGTATTCTGTTTTATTTAATAGAGCTTTTTATGGTTGCACATCAAAAAAAAGCTGCACTGTCTGGACTTCAGTGGTGTCTCGGTGACTGCGAACACAGTACCAAATCCAGCAAGAGCACCAGTTCTTATCCGAGTTTGTGCAAGCGGGTTCCAGACCCTCCCCCTAAAGCCATTCTTTCCTAGGGTCGTCAGTTGTGATCTCTTTGGTGGGCAGAGGGAATGATCTAGATAACCAAGGTCACTACTAGTCAAATGAATTCCAGAGAAGAATAATGCTCTCCTCGATGATTTCTGCACTAGGATCATGTGCTTGTCACAGCTGCAGGAATGGGGACCATCTGGAATCGGGGTGTGTCTTTTCTTTGTAATTTTTTAACTCTTAGACCTAAATACTTCTCCTGAGCACACCCTTTCAATCTGCGCATAGCTAAGGGCAGGCTGTGGTTCCAACTGAGCTTTGTGGGTTTTGATTTTCTGCTCTTGCCCCAGTCTGCCTTCTCTCAGGCCCCCACAGCCACATCTGAATCGTGCAGTAGTAGTGCTGATCCGCATAGACTTTACTGGTATTTCAAGCAAAAGCTTGCAGCCTTCCTTCTTGAGCTTTGGGGAAGGATGCTGACACTGAGTATACCAGCAAATATCTGCTTTAGTTTTCCCCATTTTTGGTAAGATCCAAGATGGATTGTTTTAAATTTGAGCTGATACCTAATTTCCCAAGGTCAGTGCATTGTTTGTATTTAAAAAAAAAAAAAAAAAAAGCAGCTCAGATTCAGAATTTGTTTACAGAAAATACCTAGGTTGTAGCAAAAGAGCCAAAGACAGAACTTGTGTTATTAAAACTAAGCACAGCAGTTATGGATGGACTCTGAGCAGTGGATGTCGCGTGGTTCCCGTTGAAGGCCTAATCCTGAGAGGTACTTTGCACCTTCAACTTCCCATGGTAGCTGAAAGAGCGTTCAGACACCTGGCAGGATAGGGACTCTCAGCGAGTGACTCGAGGTACTGGTTCTACTCCCTCTCTTTGCTTTCACTTGAATGCTTCTGCTGGGAAGCACCCATGTGCGTGGCCAGAGCAGAATGCCCTCCTTCTAGGAATTTAGCGAAGCCTCTTGCCTCAGGGAAATGTTTATTTGGTGGAAATTCTGTGGGATATTTTTTTTCTTTACATGCTATAATGAATGAGTGAATGGTATGGAGCAGAGTCGCAGCAAGGCAGAACCACGCAGAGACCTGACAGCTGATGGGGAGCCAGGAGTCTGGCATCTCTGCCTTGACGAGGCAACTTGCAACGCTTTCGTGATGGTGTGGGGAGGCGAGGCTCCCATGGCACTTACTTAGTATGGCAGTTCCTTTCGGGTGTAAGAGCTGCGGTTTACTACTATATATTTTTTTGTGTGTGTTGGGACTGTCTTGCTGAAGATGGTGGGGGTGGTATGAAAACTGTTAATCTTGTACAGAACAACCGAATAAATTGTTTCAAAGTTTCCAAAATGCTTTTTTCCCATCTCCTTACCTCTAGTTTCATGATTCCGTTTTCAAAAATTTGTGTTTCAGCTTGGATGATCATCTCTTGATCATCTGTTTCTTGAGTGAGTAATGAATTATTTGCTGTTTTAACTAAAGTCTCTTACATGGTAAGTAAATTACAGCTCTGTTTCTGGCCATCGTGGTGGTAGAATTGCATATTCTCATTCAGTATGCTCCTGCTGATGCTTGACGTTGACATCTGCTGGAAGGAACAATCCTGGAGCAACGGTGGGATCCTGCGTGATCATTTCATTCGCAAAGGTACAGTAATGGGGTTAACTCCCAAAGCCAGGATGGATGTGCAGTGAATGCTTACAGCTGCTTTTGTTGACAGCAGAGTTTACCGGGGTTCGGGTATTAGCCAAAATTTGGGAAAAAGCAAATGAACGTGTTCTAGATGTGGAAGCCCCTGGTACCATCCTACCTTAATTCCCTCTCTTCCTGCAGCTGCAGTCCCGTTTGTTAGTGCCGTTCAGTCCTATCTAATGCTGCTAATTAGTCCCAGCTCTAATGCTGCTCCAGCAATTTTCCTCTTGGAAAAGCGTCAACAGCTAAAATGAACAGTCTTTTTTTTTAACTTTGACTCTGAAATGGGATCTTTCTATAAAGCCAAAGATCAAGAGACTGCCGTAATTAATAAAGAAAAAACAACTTCTGATTGGAACCACTGCACTTTTATTTTGTACTATAAATAGAATTCCCCTCTATTTCCCATTCCCTTACACAAGTAAATGAAACATGTAGCTGCATGTAACTCCATCCAGGAAAATACCAGCACAAACGGCTTTTAACCATGAGGTAAGCTAACTGTGTTTCGAAGGCACTCTGCGTTTCAGCTGCATGCTTTACACTACCCTCTTGTGTTTGGCAATACAGCCATCTCTTCACGTACTTCTTGGTGACCTCTGTGGTGTATGAATGCTCCTCCTGGGTCTACGGCTGACGCCATCAAATTACATTGGCTTCACTCTTCCCCAGCAGCATAGGCACGTAGGTGAACAAAATGATGGTGTTTAGGTATTAATGTGGCGATACTGAAATCAGATGTGTAGCACGCCTTTGTTTTTACAGAGCTGGTTTTCTCAGAGGACGATCCCATCATTTAGTCAGTTGTCCACGATGAAACTGTCTGGCTTACCAACATGCAGCTGACGTAACCAGCTCCTGCTGGTCACCTCGGACTCATCTTGACCTTCAGTCTCCCTAATGACCGCTGTACGCAGCGTTTAATGCGACTACGTGAGTATACGTTGAGGAAATGGCAGGTTCTACTGAGTCTTTGGACTTCAGGTACTTCACTGTCCTAAGGCTTCTTGTCTTGGTTTTTGTTAGGTTGAGTGATTAGGTAGGGATGAAGAGGGGGAGAAAGTTTTGCTGTAGTCCTGACAAATGTGCTTTCCGCTACTGGTGGTGCTTTTCTGCAGTGTATGACAGCAAGCAGTGTGGCTTCGTAGCATGGCTGGGGCAGAGGCTCTAGCATTTTGGAAGACGCAAAGGAGGGCAAGGATTTGCAGTGATCTGGTAGTCTAACAAGTGGTGCAGCTCTGACTAGCTGCTCTTAAGAAAAAGTTTCTAAAGTGGATGGAGCGCTGTGTAATTACTTCCGGACACCAAGACTGCCAACTCCTGGATCGACATCTCCTTGTTGAGGTAACTGTTGTACTGAGCCATGGTTAGCCTTCCGCTCTTCAAGGCATCCTCAATTGAGAACTTTCTACCAGACTTTCTGTCGAGGATCACAGATGATTCCCCATTGGGACCCTTTATTGAGATCTCCTCCCAGTCACATTCCTGACTCTTCAGTTTGACAAACAGGCTCCATTCAATGAGGCCAAACACGTGAGCTTCCTCTGGAGACATTTCTTTTCCTGTATCGGGGTCAATGACCACAATGGAGCGCCTCAGGTGGTTCTCTCTTTGTTCCCTCTTGATAGCCACTGTCTTGAGGCGATTCTGGAGTTGCTCGATCTCTGCATCTTTTTCTCTGGATAACTGCTTCAGTTCATCTAACTCTCTTTCCAAAGCTTGGAATCTGGAGTCCAAGTTTATTCCACTGTCCACGTGGGTCATGTTTCTCAAATCCCGAGTTTCTGTTGCTGTGAGTTCAATCTCTGACTGCAGTCTCCTTGTTTCCATCAGCAGGTTCTGTTTCTCAAGGTGTAGTTTGTGGTTTTCCTCCCTTAATAAGTCTAGCTCCTTCGATGACTTGGAGTTGTTGAATTCCACCTCGGACAGCCTGGTTTCGAGGCAGTTGATATCTGCATCTAGCTCCCTCTTACGCCTACTTTCTTCCTCCAGATTGCTCTTCAGCTTTTGAATCTCGTACTCCGTGTCTCCTTTGTCCACTTGGACGCTCTCTGAAAAGACCACTTTCTCTTTGACCTCCATCTTCTCCAAAGAAAGGAGCTTCTTTCTCAGGGCTTCTAGTTCAGTTTGCAAGACTTGTCTCCGGTGCTTCTCTTCTTCTAACTCCAGCTTAAGGAGGGAGTGCTCCTTCTCTTGCTGGGGATCTTGCTGAAGGATCACTTTCTGTTTCACAGTCACTCGTTCTGTTGTCTCCCTCTCCTGTTCTTCCAACTCGTTCAACCTAATCTTCAGCCTCTGCACCTCCAGTTCGGCCTCTCTGCGGGCCTGTCTTTCTTTCTCAA